CCTTACTGGTCCACTGACAGGACCAGTACTTCCTCCAATACTGGAGATGATCATGTTTGAGAAGCTAACAGCACTCTATTAAACTAGGTCATTTGGAGCTAAATAGTAAATTTAATCAGACTTCATTCACATTCCATTTTTTAAAACTCTCTTAGGATATACAGAAAACTCTTAAATTTATTATCTTAAATTCGTACTTGCCAAAGGGAAAGGCATACATTCTGTGATGTCACTAGTCTGAAGGGTGTTATTGTAATTAGAATTCTAATACAAACAACATTAGATTTTACCCTAAATGAATATTATTGAATCTGTATTATATTCTATCAAACATATAAATATAAGCTTACTTCTCAAAAAAGCCATATTTTAATGATGTTTAGTATTGCATTTGAGAACAACTAGAAAAATGGATGTTTACTCTACTCAATTTACTATTTCCTTCTTCCCTTCCTTAAATATAAAAGTTATAAAAATGATGTGAGATTTTACAATCATGTTTTAGTCACAATCACCAATACCATCTAAAAGTATCATAGACATCTGTCAAGAGTATTTACTTAGTTGTCTACTTATAAAATATTTACAAATTATGCAATAGTTTCAGTTATAATTCCATTAGAGGGTAATAGATAAGCAAAAGGTAAAAAGAATATATACCTTGCAAACAGAAAGACAGAGGAATGAAACAATAATAAAAGAAGTAGATAGTGGCACAGGTTCAATACGCCAAGAGAAAATAAACAGTATTCTGACTCAATAAGAAATTAATAAGACAAAAACTTTAAAAATCATACTTAGAATAATTTTTAAATCCATAAAAATTATGGCCAAAAGATACAGTAATAACTAGTCTAATTCTAAAATAAAGAGAATGAAAGTTGCATTTTACTTAAACTTACCAAGGTAAGATTTTTAAAAATACTTAGTGACCTTCAATAAACTACAATATGTTAAGGATTCTATTGATATAAAAGTTCTAAAAGTGATTTCTCACCTTGTTTCATATGAGTTAAAAAGAATCATAATTGAGAATTCTATTAACTTTATACTTAAAGAAAATTTATCCTAAAATATATAATCCATACCTAAATTTAGATAATATGTAAGTGAAGATGCCATGTGTGTAAAATACATATTAAATATGATTCCAAAAAATAACAAAATTAGAAATAAAAATTCATTAAGATATTTTTGTCTAAAGTTTCTTGGACCTGTGTGATTCTCACCATTCTTACTTTCAATTAGTAAGAAAATTTAAAAGAGAGCAGACAATAATTAATTTTGGTAGGCACAGTAACCTTTTTTAACCTTTCTTAGGGAACACTGACCCCTAAAGGTTCCAAATTTTAAGTAACTTTCATAATTTTCTAAATGTAACTGTGTCTAGTTTTTACCTTTACCTATATAGCTGTAAAAAACTACACTTATGGCAGACATATTGATCCAAAATAATATATAAATTATTCCAAAGGATTGTTGTGTACTGTAAAACCATTAGACCTTGTCTTTGCTAATTAAAAACCAACCAAATTTAATACAAGTGAAGATGCTATTCCAAAGAGTTACCTATAAAAAAATGTATGAGTCCCATACTGTTAAGTAAATACAGTTATTCCTTTGCTATTCTTGGGGATTTAGTACCAGGACTGCTCACCGATACCAAACTCTGTAGATGCTCAAGTCTCTTATACAAAATGGTGTAGAATTTGCATATAACCTACTCACAATCCTTCTAAATACTTTAAAGCAGCTGTAGATCACCTGACACTAGGTAAATAGTTGCTATACTATATTATTTAGGGAACATAAGCAAGAAAAAGTCTGTACATGTTCAGTACAGACATAATTTTTTTCCAAATATTTTTGGAAAATGTTTGAATTCTCAGACACAGAACCCAAAGTTACAGAAAAGCCAAATATAAATGGCTAAACAACCAACCACAGGCCCGAATTCTTTCTGAAGAGTGACTGCATAAGCATAAACTCCCTTAATTATTTCTCTTTTTTTCTAAAAGCAGACACAAAGGTAGAAAGATTTCATTAAAAAGCAAAACAATTTATTTAAGAGGCCAGAAAATAATACAAATACTCATATGGCAACACTTATTCACACCTATACTGTTTCTATCAACTTAAAAAAAATCATTCACAGTTGTTTTTAAACTACTTAAAGAAACTTTGTAGATGTCTTCAACTTTTCCAACTACCAACTTCAGCTTTGCATTTTCCAAGATGACTTTAATGGCAAAGACAATAAAAAAATGTGAAGAATTGTACCTGTTATATTACATAATTTATCAACTCTTTCGGCTTAAAATTTTTCAACAATGTTTCTACAATAAAGCCAGGAAAAAGAATGACCATTTGTATGCTCTATAAAGAAACTTAAGGGAATGCAAAGACACAGCTGTGTAATACATTTTATTTAGTTCAATATCCTAAAAAAATTGTAAAATAAAATTAAATAACTATTAACATAGACTGTGAACAGATTTGTATAAGATAGAACTCTGAAGCAATTTGTGCTTTAAGATAAACCTCAAGAACTTTGCTTTCAAGATGACCATGTAAGAGTTTACTGTGGAAAAAGTTATCATAGCACTCCAAAGAAACTACATTTACCTGTTTAACTCTCTTAATAATGCTTAAGAGCCTGTGACAAAATAAATGTGTTTTTATTTCCAAGGTGAAGAAAATGCCTGTAAATATGCAAATTTTCTTAATAATGTTTCAGTCACATATGCTGTGGTCTGCCTCCTGCAAACAACATAAATGTCTATGTCATCACATCTAAAACCTGCTTTCTTAAGTATGCAGAAGCTTCTTTGGTTATTTTACATGTATGAGAAATACTTCCTCCACAGCCCCTATCTCTTTAGATTTATTAAAGATAATTCCCCTGGCTCCTTAAAGGTCTTTTGGTCTCTCATGTGAACAGCATGACTTTCACAAGGTGACTTGTCAATAGGGAACATAAATAATATGCACATCATTATTTACTTACTTTTTCTTTATGCATAAATTTAGTAGAATGCTTTTTGAGCTCCTCAAAAAAAGAATGTTTATTTACTTGAATAAATCAAAACAGCTACAAATAACAGTCCCCAACTTCAGACCAATACATTCTTATCACAAACTTGAACCTAAGGAGAGTGAACCAAAATGAAGTGTCATATAAACTATGCACTAAAACTATTACCTTTGCATTGAAAACCTTTTAATTACCTTACTCAGTTATTACATAATATTGCTTTGTACATAATTCAGTCAATTATTTGGATTCTGAACTCATGCATCCCAGGGCCCCAAAGAAGAAAGAAAATTACTAATGGTAGCATAAAAACACCAAGAAATTTTATAACTAGGGAAACAAAATACAAATGAAGAAATCAGGAGAAAAAAGGCACTTAGAAAGCATACTTTCTACACAGAAAAATAATATAAAATTTTTTCTTATTTAATGTAATGATTATAGAAGTCCCTCAAAAGTCTTTAACCTTCTAAACAAGAAACAACATGATGGGATATAAGGGGGAAAGAGCTCTGCTGGAGGAAAGGGAACCAAAAGAAGGATAGTGTTTTTGTAAGACTACTGTGTTTTAATCATACAATTGAAAGGAAATAATATAAATAGCAGCCTAAGTCTCCAACTATAGATATTCACAATGATGACCCAATTTCCAAGGATTTCCCATTTTCAACATGTTGCCATACCAGACCTTAACATCCTCCTCCCCCACTGCCCCACGCACACTTGCTCCCGCCCTCCTCCCCTCCCCCCTCCCCCGTGCC